CACACACATCTTTCTCAATTCTATTTTAATATTTTATTTGAAAAGAAATGTATATATTAAGGTACATTGTCACGATTAGAAGCTATATACAGTATTACTTATTTATTGAATCGCCAACAATATCAAGCAATAGTTGTTTGAAAATTATATCTTCGATAAAAAAAAATAGAAAATAAAAAATGGTAAAGGATGTCCTTGACTGGATGATTTCCTTGCGTGAAATCGGGAAAGTTATTGTTGTATTGTAAGGATGCGTCACGGTCAGAAATTAACTATGAATTTGTAAACAAACCTTCGAGTTCGAGCCCTTTTTGGTAAACGTTTCTTTTTCTAAAGAAATGTCCTTTCTAAAAGTTTCCACAATGGCGAAAAGATAAGAAGCTTGAGAGTGGGGGGTTTAACCATTTCTGTATAAATTAATGCATTTCAGTCTTGATTCAGTTCAGTCTTCGTTCAGATCTTTGACTAGAACTTAGTTCTTGCTACTGTTCAGCTTCAGCAAGTCAGATTCTAACTCTCAGGACTTACGAAACCTACGAGATACTCCAGGAACAAATCCAGTGTTAAATACAGTGTTAGTTTGAGTGAAAAGAAAAAGGTAAAAAGAAAAATAAATAAAATAAATAAAGTGTAATAATGTTTTAATATAATTAAAAAAATTAACAATAATCATTAAAAATAGGAAATGAGCCCGCTAAACAACGTAGACAACGGTGACGCACCGCTCATCAGATTGACCGACAGAGAGGTGTCGATAGAGCCGGAGACGTATAATTTGCTGCTGAAATCCTTCTGTCTACGAAAAATAGTGGACGAATTCATTTACGTTCAAGATGGTCAAGATGCTTTGGGACTACGAAAGAGTTATTGCCAGCTTTGTTTTCACGCCATGAGACATCCTCCTGGTTTCCTGCGATTTAGCAATTGGCATTCAATTTATATCTTTATCGGAGTAGTTCATCTTCACTGTAAAATAAGGTGCAACATGTGCAATAAACATTTAATATATGCCGGAGAAGCAGTCAAATGTGAGGAATGCGTTGAAGAATTTGTAGAGAATTCAGATAACAAACTTCTCGAGCGATATGGAGAATTAATGGTGATAAGTCATCTTTATGATGAATCGTTAGATAGATAAATTTGCAATAATTGTATTTATTACATATTTAAATTATTTCTATTGTATCATATTATCATAACATCTGCATACTGCAATTTTATATATATATATATTCATATTACATTTTTTATTTTATGTCATATTTTTATTTACATTATGTCTCTTATATATAATGAACTTTTTAAAAGATGTACTTTGTACGTGTACAAATGTATCTTAATTATGTATCTTATTGTACTTATGTATCTTAATTAATTAATAACTATTTTTAGTAAAATCAAAAATAATAGATTTGACCATTTTGATTTGACTATTTTATATATTACAATCGCTTTTTGATTATATTTGTAATTTATATGTCTAGTCTAGATTCTAATAAACATTGTGATAAACTCTTATTTCGTCTAGTCTAGAAGATTTCTAGTGATTGAATTGTTAACATTGTTAATAAACTCTTATTTCTTGTCATTAAAAATAAATAAGATTTCTCATTAAATAAATAATTGTGACTTTTATGCATTCTTAAAACAACCAAAACCAAACCTATTAAACCAATAGCTATTTCATTTGTCCCTCTTCCTAAAAAAAATCTTAAAATACTAAAATTCTAAAATCGTTACCTGAAATATTCTTTTGTACGATGTATATTTAAGAGATATATGATTGTTTTCATTAAAGTAAAGATATCTTAAAATGAAGATTACTTATACGTATACATATACTCTTCCTGAAAAATCCTAAGATTCTTATTTGGAATATTTTTTATACAATGCATATTTAAGAGATATACAGCTATTTTCATTAAAATTAAGATATGATGAAAATTAAGGTGAATGTTACTTACACATACACATATAATATACACATAAAATAAAAAAATCTTTTTATTAAAATTGTTAATAAAAATATTCCTGTGAACATTTCTTTTATTTTTTTTTGTTATATATATTGTTATATAATTATATAATGATATCTGATATAATTATATTTCAAAAAATTTACAATTGTTACAATTTACTATAATAATAGTTATGACAACACACATTATATATGGAAAAGATTACAAATGTCGTCTCAGATGAAACTGATGTCCAAAATTTTGGCGTGTCTGAATCTCATTAATATTGCACTAGTTAATTATTAAAAATATAATAAACGCATGTAATAAATTAATATAGTTTATTAAATTAAATAAATTAAATTAAATTAAATTAATTAAAATAAATTAATTAATTAAATTAAATAACTAATGTTGGAAGTAAGTTCAATATTTTAAAAGATAAATTTGAAAATGTAAATTTTTTAAGATTTGTTAATTTTTAACGTAAAGCAAATTTCCAAATATTCCAAAATCATTTTGCTCTTTTTTTCGTATTCCTTATTCAAATCCTAATCTCGACAAGACATTTAATTAAATTTTTCTCAAGTTGTCCTGATATCACTATTACAATTCAATAAAGAGAAAGAATGACCGCGCGAGAGGCTCAAATTCTTTTTATCCCACCAGCATTTAATTTGGAAACACCGTGCAATTAACGTGCCTCGCTCGAACCGTTGTTGTCAGATACGCGAGGCTAGGATAGACGATTTTCATGTTTTGCTCTGCCTTTTTCGGACCGGGCTAGAGGGTGGAGCGACATCGAGTGACGTTGACTGACGTTCAACGGACGTTTCTCATTATTTTGAATAGTAGAAAATCAACGAGCCTCTGGCTCGCGTACGTCGCAGGCCGGATTCGATCTCGGTTCGAATAGTCAAAGTCGCCCTCTCGATTTGTAAAGCGCACAATACCTTTTACCTTTGATTGTATAGCAACGCTTTTTCTCTGAAAGAGATACTTATGTAAGTGAAAAATTCGTAGATATGATTGAATGTGCAACTGTTCAATGATCATTATTTTTCTGTGAAAATTTGCTACGCACGAAACGTACCATAACTTATGTCGTTCTACAAAATTCTTTCCAAACGACTATTTCTTTTCGAAAGTTTGAGACTAGTATTTATTCAAAAGGAATGTCGAGATAGTGACTCACAAAAATAATATATGCATATAAAGATAACTAATAAAGGATATGTATATATTAGATACAGTTGTTATTTTATTTATTTTAGCTATCTTTATTTCCGAAAGTTATTCTCAATCTAGATAACAATAAGCCATTAACTGTTATTGATAAATCAACATATTGCATATTATAACTATTTTTTACAAAATATCTCGTTACCTTTATATTCTTTTTTCTCAATATTACGTGCTTAACATTTTTATTTTATTTTTATCTTATCTAACATTTTCATCTCGTTTTTTGTTAATCAACATTAATAGATCACCATTAATGATTTATCAAAAATAATGCATGACTATGGAAATATCAGAACAATAATATTTAAATAATAGCTAAATATAAATGGAAAAAGTTGTTTACAATAAGAATTTATTTTATCGGCAATACATCAATACAGTCCAAGACGAACATCTGTATTCATCTCTGGCAAACGTTAATTGCTTATGGAAAGCGACGGCTTTTAATAGAATGGCTACAGGATGATCGCGAGTTGATCCCCTCATTGATAGAACATAAATTTTCTCAAACTTGTGTTTCCCTCGATGCTGCATCTCATTCCTTCCCGCGTGCCTGAGGGAGAAGGCATCCGATAATTATTTCCAACGGCGCCGCACGAGTTCGCAACGCGCGGCGACGCGTACAAATCTCATCGGGTCCTTTACATTTTCCCGTGATATTTCAATCCGAATTTGCATTCCCCGTGGAAAATCCGTAGGGTTTTCTCTCTTCTCGTTCCGTGAGGCATGAGAAATGTGCCGCTTCTTTTCCGTTGCCCTCTCCCACCCCTACGCTCTCTTCTTCTCTCTCATCTCCCTTCCTTTCGTACTCGGCCGCTCTTTTTTCCTCAAAATAAATCCGAAGCCCCGCTTCCGTCTACGGGCCACGAATACTAGGCGGTACATATATTTCTTCTATTGTCTAGCACTGGAGTTTCCTATTGTTTCTAGAAATTTATCGCTTCACGGTAAGTTTGGCCACGCAGAAGCGGGTGCTTTCATCTTGAGATGTGGATAGGAGAAACGCCAAGTGGGAGAGAGATAGAGAGACAAAATTGGAAGGAAAGACCGAATAAACGGCGGTGGTTGCCGGAGAGGGAAGGTGATTGCAGGCGAGGAGGTTGCAGGTGAGGAGAGGGGAAGATAGATCCAACCAACAATAATTAGTACTTCTACGAAATTATTTATGCCCGGAATAAATCAGAAGAAAGCTTAATTGCTTTCCACCATAGCTGACGATGACAGCAACGACGACGACGACGACGACGATGACGACGACGACGACGATGCCGCGCGCGGGATTCGAGGCGCTTCCTCTTGTCGGATTTTTGTTTTGGTTTCGGCCGCGGTTTCGTGACGCGAGAACGAAGAGAAAATCCGAAGAATTATTGGAAGGGCGATCGTTCCGGGACGATTATTTCGTACGGGAATTTATCTCGCGCGCGCCGTTGCGAGGCGCGACAAAGGCCGTATCATATTTTTTTCCTTTCCCCTCAACTATCCCCGAATAGTTTTCTCACTTTTATTCGCTACGGTGGATCCTCGCAGACTCTCACGGCAGCCACGTGAATATCCGTGACGCATCGAGTCATTAGTGGTCGGCGCCGATATGATATATCGACACGTCGGGTTCCTAATTTCGTTTGGTAATGGGTTACGAATTCATTATCGCGCTGACCGCTCGCCTGAAAAATAAATCCTATTTCCGTTAATGCTGTTACTTCAATAGTTGAGTAAAGAGCGACGTAAATAACTGCTGCAGAATCTGCAGCGACGGCCATGATGGACGGCCAATTTTATTTCGTGAGGTCCCATAACGGTTCGGCGGCACCATTTTAATTCACGATCCGACATTTTGCATGAACTCACTCGATTCGTCCGGCCGCATCATCCCTCTTTTATTTAAACCGATTGAAATTCATTAATTACGATTTTGTCTATAATTAAGCGCACTATTTTCTCCCTATTGGTAAATAAAAATACTGTTTCGGTATAACACAGATTCGTATAGAGGTGATTCGAAACTCTACTTTAGTCGGGAGAGGTTGATTTAATGACTATGAATTTGATAACGATTATAAATTTCAATTTTATTCGGAGTAAGAAACCTCAACTCTCAGAGGCAGGGATAAACGAGAAGAGAGATGGAGAATTCTGGCTCAATTGGCAAACGTTAATGAGACTTTTCTATTGGTTCTGAGGTGTGTAATCATCGGTCATAAAGACTTGCGGGCAGCATATTTGTAAAACCGCAAAGAAGCAGGCAAAGAAATGAAGAGCCGAGAACGGTAGGAACTATCCCTTTCTCTCATTTTCCCTTTATTTCTCTTTTTCTTTTTCTCTCGCAAAAGTCAACTTATATACATTCTGAAGATACAATTTTATTTCATAAAGCAAAGGAAACCTTCATATACAACTTACGATGATGCGTTCGAGAGGGTGGAACGAAGAACTCTGTCGTATAGAGAACCAGAAGTCGAACAGAATAGAAGGGAGGAAGACTTGGCAACAGGTTTCATCCCCGTGGCAGCCATTTCCCCCTCTATGCCCTGCGTTCTTTTCGAAAAACATTCGCTTTACTCCACGCTCTGCCGTCCAGTGCATCGTTGCGTCTTTTGCGGGAAAACCGGTTTTCATAGGACCCTTAAACTGACGAGTTTCCTGCGAGTTTCCCGCCTTCACTGCCATGTTGCCACTTTATGATTCTCGCTTATTGACGGACCCGCGCGTTTATCTGTATGGGAGCGTGGCTTCTATAAAACGGCGCATACCACTGAATGCAGATTCCAACGAATGCAGATATATTATATCGATACGTCATGTTTCGAAGGGGAGGGGACTAACCTAATAGTGCAGCAGAAATGATTTTCTACGAAATTAATTTTCGTACTTTCAATATTTTGTTTATTCTGTTTTTTTTTCTTTATATATTTTCTTTATATATTTCTTTAAATAT